TAAAAATCGAGATGAAAGTGTGTGGGTTCGAAAAAAATATCGCTGTGCTCAGAAAACGAAGCTCTTTCAGAAGATATATAAAAACCGATATATTTTTCAAAATTAAAGAACCCAATTACCATGCGACCAAACACTGCATGCACTGGTTTGTCGCTCGATTTCCGCGCGAAAAGTCGTTTATGTTTTTTTTTTCTGCAAACAAATTTCGGGTCCGTCAGTTTTTTTTTCTCGTAATTTAAAATAAAAATAAATCCATTCTGAATTCACGATGACGGAAACAGAACCTGCTACCACCGGAATCGATGCAGAATATTTTATCGGTGCTATTTTCTTGCGGGAAGAATTGTGGGATCAAACATCCCGAAAATACCGGAACCGTGTTCTGGTGGAGAAAGGGTGGAAGGAACTCGAGAAGGAGTTTTCGATTCCCGGTAAGTTTAATATTTTATTTTCGCTGTACTGGGGAACAAACATCACAAATTTGGTGCATTCGCCTTATTTAAAGCAGCACGTATTTTCATAACTGATTCGACTCTTTTTGCAATTCTTAATTGATATTGTATTTTCAGCAAATGAATTGAAAAAAAATAAATACCTACGCTAGGGAACTCCGCAAGCTGCCTAAATCCGGTGATGCAGGAGATAAAAGCTGCCACAGCACTTGGCCATATTTTACCTGCATGCAGTTCTTGAAACAGCAGATGAAAACCCGAAAATCAACCGGAAACCTTAAGATTCCACCCACATCAACAGCCAATGATCAGGACGATGAAATCGATTATGGCGAAGTGGAGGCATTGGAGGAAACAGAAGGGTGGTTTGAAGTAGCCGACCCTTCTATCGCTGGATTTTCGGACTCACCCTTGCAACGTCCGGCCAAAAAAATCAAAAAATCTTCGAAGAGAAGCCAGCAGCTGCGCGGCTGCTGGAAATCGAATGGAGGAAGCTTGAACTGCTTGAGAAAAAGGCTGAGAAAAATCGCGATGAAGATATTGTTTTCTTAGAAAGTTTGCTACAGCACGTTAGAAAACTGGAGGGTGCCCACAAGCTGGAATTCAGGATTAAAATTCAACAAGTTTTGCTTGTTTATGTGTATAGAAAGGCCCAATGCTCGCTCACTGAAAGTGAGGGTGATATTTTTTAGTTATAAGAGTTTTTCAGCTTCTTTTTTAGTGTAGTCGGCTGTTTTAGAATATATTATAAACGAGAATGGATAATGTTATGGTTTTTTAACTTTCAATCCATGACACAAATATAAATAAAACCCTCAATATTCAGAAAGTACCTCTACAAATCCCTCTTAAATTCTACATGCTTCTCAAATCCTGTACGGACTTTTCAAAAGTTTCAACCATTCTCAAAAGCTCTAAAGTTTTTTTTTTCGTCATCATTAGGTATGCGTTCTGAAAACTTCTCGGAAGTTCTGGGAAAATCTTCCTGGAAAATCTGTGAAGTTAATTCAAGAAGCTCTGGAAAGCTCTTCTAGGAAGTTCTGAAAGGTTCTTACTGGGAATTCTGGAAAGTTCTTTCAGGAATTTTTGGAAAGGTCTTTCAGGAAATCAACTTACTACAATTTCATGAAAGTATATTCTAGAACTTTCTAAAACTTCCTGGAAATTCTTCCTCGAACATCCCAGAACTTCCTAGAAGAATTTCCAGGAAGTTCTAGGTAGTTCCCAGAATTTCCCAGAACTTCCCAGATCTTTCTGGAAGAACTTACAGGAACTTCATAGAACTTCCTGGAAAAACTTACTACCTGTAAAACTTCCCAGTACTTCTTGGAAGAACTTTCCAGAAGAATGTTCTGGGAAGTTCTAGTAAGCTTTTCCAGGAAGTTCTATGAAGTTCCTACAAGTTCTTCCAGAAAGATCTGGGAAGTTCTGGGAAATTCTTCCAGGAAGATTGGTGTAAAAATGTGTTTAAATGGAGACACTGCAGTGGTACCATGGTACAATGGACGAAATAACAAAATGTGAAATAATCGTATATTTTTTATTTCGGTTTCTATTCCAATTCCTTCGTACTGCACACAAAATCACGGAACGTGTATCTAATCTGCTTTCCTGTTCGTTGGTAGCTATGGTTGAATGTTTTTCTGTTTAGATTTTTGTTATTTTCAAGGAAATCTTCTGTCTCTGCCTGAATACTCTGATATCCTTCCTTATCAATAATTACATTGTGCAAAACGCATATGGCCTTTACTATGATTTCCGCAAATTCTGGATCCGTTTCGATGGGTTTTCAAAGCAACCTCCATTTTGCATTAATCGCTCCAAATGCACACTCGACGGACTTTCTAGCCCTAGATAGTCTCGAATTGAAATATTCTTCATCTGCTGTCCCATCTATTCGTGCATATGGCCTTAAAACATGTTGTAGAAGCGGATAAGCATCATCGGCAAGAAAAACATATGGCATTGATATGTTCGTTCCAGGTAGGCAGGCATCTTGAGGGATATTTAATGCTCCTGTCTCCATCAATTTAAACAAAACGGAAGCATTGAATGTTCCACCGTCACTTTGTTTGCCATATCCGCCCACTTCTAAATACTGAGATGAACTTGCAGTTAGCATCAGCTACGCCTTGAAGCACAATCGAAAAATAATGTTTGTAGTTGTAGAACACCGTCCCCGAGTTAGAGGGACATCGAATTCGAATGTGTTTTCCATCGATACTCCCAATACAATTGGAAAGTACCACATTTCCCAATAGTCCTGCGCAATCATGTGTATCGGTTGGAGTGTTTCCCATAGTGCAAGGCAAGTTTCTTTCACAATTTCCGCAGCCGTCGATCGACCGATGCGAAAAGAATACGACAAGGCATAAAACGATACACCTATAGCAAAGAACCTACAAGTATAATCAAGATGCAAAAGATTGAAGGATACCAATATTTTCTTGTTTACCTGAGTGTGATAATCAATTTTTCTCTAGGAAGTATCGGTTGCCGCACAAAGTTTGTCCACCGCTTAGTAAGACGTTCTTCAATGAGTTCCAGTACGTAGTGGAACGTTTCAATCTTCATCCGGGATTAGTTCCGAAATTTATCCGGGTGTTTCATCAAGTCTGGATATAAATGATGATATTCCCCGTATATTTGTCGTTTCCGGTTGATTGGGTGTACCCCAAATTCTCGATCATCTTCAAAAAAATATCGTTGCACAGCATCAGAAGCAAAATATTCTTCATCAGAATCCTGATAGAAATCCATTTCTGTACAATTTGAATTAACTTGTAAACTGAAGTCTGTAAATGGCAATGTTTCATTCAAAATGTCAAGTATTTCAAGAATATCGGGTGAGACCAATCGGACCGAGCGCTCATTTCGGTCATCGGTTGTGCACGAGGAGCGATTTTAATCCCCCTGTTTTGAAGATATTCCGGAGCGAGGATCTATTATGTAAGAGGGATGATAGAAGTGGCATATCCAGAAACTCAATACAACAAGAGAAGGAAGTAGGATTAAAGGTAAACAGGGAGTACATGGGAACGTCGAAAACTGTAAGTATACTCCGATCTATTCTAGTACTCTTGTATAAAACCTATTGTAAACCGGCTAGATCGTAGTCGTCGTCACCGGGACGCATAGTCATGTGACCACTCATGATAAAGCACACAATGCTCTCAACATTAAATACATTGCACGAGTTGGGTCGCACAGAGGGTTGATTAAAACCCGCATGAACGATAACCATAAGGAGTGCCTAACAACCTATTCGGGTTATCATCCCAACAATATGTGGTACGGTGGCACGATGTGTGATATCGTTCATGTATGGTGCTCCACCCACCCTTTAAAGTCGCTGACGCTCATTGCACGCTCTTTCGTTCTCCGGTTGATTAAATGGATGACGGAGTTTGACGTCACACTCCTTCAGACGTTTAGGCGGCGGGTGGGCGAGAGGGATGGCTGTTCAGTACACGGAGACAATTTTACAAATGTATTTCTAATAGGTAAATCACAGTTTAAAACTCACTAACAATCTCTTTTAATTTCTTTTTCATTGGCGGTGTGATGTAATCGATGCGCTATGTGACGAGAGCGGAAACTAAACGAGGCCATTTTTCAACGATACGATAATAACTTATGCGCTTTTCACACAAAACCTACCCAACCCTTTCCTTTCTACAATCCCTGAGCAGCTGGTTTACCATAAGTATACCTCGCAGAACTTTTTTAACCCCCATGGGTAAAGATGCTGTTTTGCTCACTCCTCTCCCCTTCGCTGGTATATCATGGATGGTGTGAAAATTCACATCGGTGACATGGCCACTGACCCCCTTGTACATCATAAAATGAAAATGAAAATGAAATTTTATGATTACAAAATATTAAATTTTTGGAAGCACCTGCCGTAAATTGAGATATCAGGTAAAATTGTTCAAAATAATAGCAGTACTAATAATTTTCATTTCATCTTAATTTTGAGATTTCCGCCTCAAAATAATGCGAAAGAAAGTGTTCCCGGGTATAAAACCAATTGTTCCGTATTCTTTAGACTATCATTTAAACCAAAAAATCCATTTTTTTAACCCACTACAGTGACCTTTAACCTTTCTAATCCCTCCTATTCTGCGAGTCACGTGACTCTCTCTCTCTCACCGGTGAGGTGACAATTGTCACGTCGTGTGCGGAGGCTGTCCATTTGAATTGCACGAGGTGACAATTTTCACCTCACCGGTGACGGAGAATCACGTGACTCGTAGAATAAGTAGGAGTCCATTAGGAAAAAAATACACAGTGTTTCCAGGCCAAAAATGACCCCAATGCACTAGGAAGGTTAAACACGTCATGTTTGGTCAGCTCTGTAGGTGAATTGAAAACAAGCATCAAGAGGATGAAAATGAAAATCATTACCCGATCGATTGTGCCTAATCATGTGCCTACAGTTCAACGTCAATCCCACCAAGACGGCTGCTCGCTCAATTAGGTTCATTGCAACTCCAACCAGTCTGCGACAACCATTCGACCCACTCGGTGTCTCAAAGCCTCTCCATCCACACAGCACATTAGCAAAATAAGCATGGTTGAAAACGAGCTTAGGATCCCACATCTGCTGGTGGAAAATATCGGCCCCGTGCGTCGTATCACGCTGAACAACTCACGCAAACGCAATGCCTTCAACCTGCAAACCTATCGGGAATTGGCGGCATGTCTGAGCGCCTCGGATCGGGATGATTCCGTTCGGATGGTGGTGCTAACCGGTGCCGGTAGCTGCTACAGCGTAGGCAACGATATCGAAGACATTCTGGGCAGTGGTCAAACGTTGCAATCGATGGGACGCGATCAGGCGGCCATGGTGAGATCGTTCTACAGGTTCAGCAAGTTGCTGATTTGTGTGATCAATGGACCGGCGGTGGGAATTGCTGCAGCAACGGCACTGTTGTGCGATGTGGTTTACATGGAGGAATCGGTGAGTATAGTGATAGACATAGACCAGAAGGTTATGGGAATTCATCAACTAGAAAATGCACTTGATTTGTTGATATTTTTGAGCCCGTTCAGTTTAAAAAATGTCATATGGTTTTAATTGAGTTTGGGATTTTTAACTGAGAAGTGAATTATTTGTCCATCTCTTCCTGTTTTTAACACATTGAATATTTTTCAATAAAAAACATCGTTGCTAAACCACTACCGCTATCTACTGAGTATACTGTGATGGGTAGTACGCTCAACAGATGACGGTAGTGTGTTGACTATGCGTGCCACAGGTGGCGGTACTACCGACTAAGATCATTTAAATTGACCATTAAATGCGTGTTCTATGAACAAATTGGCAGAGTTATGACTGTTTGTCCGTGCTTTACTGGTAAGAATTTTCTACAGCTACAACTTTGCCCAAGACATTTTTTCTATTCTTCGCCCCCAAGTAATGATGCCTGATCAGCAGATGATGAAGCATGTCTGAAAGTTCTCAGCTTTTTAGTAAATTACTACAAGTAATTATCATGACGGGTATATAAAAAGTGGTCTTCAACACAGTTGTAACCCATAAATTATTGTGGTGGTCCACCATCATTTGCATTCATTTCGTACATTCATTTACATTCATTTGCCTCTAACTTTTTTCTTCAATAGCATTCCGCAAAATGATGTAAAGAACTTTTGTAGGTTTTGTTATTAGCTACAACTTTTGTAAACAAGTCAAATATGTATCTCTTATGCATGACGAAGCAGAGCGAACAGAATCCACTACTGTTTTTCAGTGAATGTATTTTACATTCACTGAAAAACTGTAACAAGTTCTGCCCACTCTAGTTCGTGATGCATAAGAGGTACAGATTTGAGTTATGAACAAAACTTGTAGCTTATTACAAAACCTATAAAAGTTCTATACATCATTTTGCGGAATGCTGTTGAAGAAAAAAGTTAGAGGCAAATGATTGTAAATGAATGTATGGAATGAATGCAAATGATTTTCCATGCCTGGTGGTGGATGACCAGGTGAACAAAAAGATCGCATTTTCCATAATAATTCCCAACTAGGGGCATTATGGACACCCTAAGAATTTTGCCATGTATGACTTGATTTGAATCAAAATATCGCTATGTGTTATTTATCAGAGACGATGTTAAATCAGAGACGCGCAAAGACTGAAGCCAATCGTAAAAAAACATTCTTATCCCCTTTTCTCATCCCCTTTTCTCGCCACCCATATGACACCAACGCAAACCATCAACATCGCCGGATAGGGGAAGGTTTTCCTTTCCCGATGATGTTGTTAGTTTGCGTGGGCGACCCTCGGTTGGTGAGAAGAGGGCATACAAAGGTTTGTTTACAAAAAGCTTGAATGCCCTTTTGACATGTGGCTCTTGAAATAAGCTCAAATTTTGAGAGAATGGTTGATTCGTTTGACCAGTATGGAGGAAAATCGATACAAATGGACCACTTCGTCAAGCAGTTTTAGCAACAATCAATACGAAACTAACGATTTAAAATTGGCTCATTTCTTGACTAGCCTATTGGTCCCAAGCAAATCGATTACGTACCCCATTCTAGTCAAAATTCTAGTACTACACTATGTTTGTTTTGATTCGCTATGAAAGTTTGGCAGATAAAATGAGGGGTTCGTGGATTCTTCTATATTTCGAGGGGTGCATCGATTAGCTTGGGACCAAAGATAGTACCAGAGAAGAGCCAAAAAGTTGAGCACGTTATTTCGGGACCTTCTAGTCTTAGAGTTACCTTAAGAACCGTAGGTCAGATATATTACCAAACCTCATCTTCTGGCATCTCTGGCATTGATAATAATGCGCCTAAATATATGTTACCCACGGTAACCACAAAATACCCAATAATGACTACAAAGTACACGCTATTTCAAAACTACCCAAATTTGGGTAGCATCCACCCAGATCCGTCAAAACAGAACCTACCCAAAGATGGGTAAACTGTGTTGGGAGTGACAAGTTGACAAATGAACAACATTGACATGAATCCGATCGACGTTGTTCATTTGTCAGCTTGTCACTCCCAACACAGTTTACCCATTTTTTGGGAAGGTTCAGTTTTGACGGATCTGGGTGGATTCTACCCAAATTTGGGTAGTTTTGAAATAGCGTGTAAGCATTTTTTAGAGAAACTGGAACTACCCATTAAATGAGTAAAATTTTACCCATTTGTGAGTAATTAAAATTACAAGAATAAGTAGTAAAGATTGATTTGTGAGTAACTAATACTCATAAATGGGTAATTTTTTACTCATTTAATGGGTATTCCCAGTCTCCCTCGAAAATGCATACTTTGTAGTCAATATCGAGTCTTGTATAGTCAATAATAGGGATTTTGCAGTTACCGTGCAGTTAAAAGCAGAGGGGCGATCGAGGAGGCGATTCAACTTCAGTAACTTTTTGGAATTTGGAACCCCTTCCCCCTTAAATCTTCCCATACCTAGGGGAAATGACTCTAATTTTGGCCTATGGATCTAAGAATGGGACCATCGCTAAAAATCTATTTTTTATCAATTTTATCTAAATAAAATAATGATGTAATAGTAAAAAGCAGATACAATATTACATCAATGGATGTAATTTTGTTCGCAAAAACGATGTACATGTAATATTCAACAACTTTTTTTTATGTGTACCCCCCTCCAAAAGTCAACATCATTTCACACGTTTCCTGCCATGCTTGTAATATTAGGCCGAAAATACTATGTATAGTATATTTGATTAGATGGTATAGTATATTAAATTTTTTTTAAATTTAAAAATATAGTATATCAAATTTTGATCTCATCGAACTGTGAGTCGAAAACAGCCGTAAATGTCTTAACATGGCAGTAGGAAGTCAAAGCATAATCGACGAAGAGAATCGAGCAAATTGACCTTTTGAATTCTAGATAAACATTGCAAAAGGTCCTATCTGCATTGATCGATTCTCTTCATCGACTTTCTCTTTCGTCAATAACTCAGCTGCAAAACCTTTCCCTGTTATACGTTTTGGACGCTAGATAAGAACCTCCTTTATCAAACCATGTGGTAGAATTAGCGCGAAATCTTTTTGCATAGCAGTGGTTATGAAAAGAGAAAGTCGATGAAGAGAATCAATCAAAGCAGATAGGACCATGTTCATCGAGAATTGTTCGGGTTGTTAAAATTTTAATTTTAAATAGAGCTTACCTTTGCAAGTACTGAAATAAGTAGTTAAAACTAATTATTCACTCCCAATATTCCGCTTCCCACAGGCCTACCTGGAAACTCCATTCACTCTAGCCGGATTGGGATCCGAGGGTTGCGCATCGTACACATTTCCCAAACTGATGGGACACACAAAGGCATCGGAAATGCTCCTACTGAACCGTCGCATGTCAGCGCAAGAAGCCTTACAGCTAGGTGTCGCCTGTCGATTGTACGCAGCAGATGAGTTCGAGGTCAAATTGTGGCCGGAAATTCTGCAACTAGGTGCCCTATCGACCATTCCCATTAAAATCATCAAAGAACAAATGAACCGGTCCGAACTTGATCACCTCGAACGAGCTAATACAAGAGAGGTGGACACGCTGATACAAATGCTGCAGTCCAAGGAGTGCCTCGAAACGCTAAAGAAGTTTGTCGTGACAAAGAGTAAAATGTGAAAACCAAATATGATTGAAATAAAGCTTTATTTGACAGCCTTCTTAACGAATACAACCGAAGTAACGACATTCCCCACAGCTCCGCCGAATTTGAACGAAGGCGTTGGGATGACCACGTGCAAATCGAATACCTCTACGAAACTTTTGACCAACTCAGGTTGTGTCCAATTGCAGGAAGTAAGAATAAACAGCCCGTCGTCTTGTAAGAGTTGCAAAACGCTTTTTATGTACGTTGTTCGCATCCTTTTGGAATCATCTGGATGTAAGCTAACTGCATCATAAGTTCCTTTATCGTGAACCACTTTGAACTTGCCCAAAGATGCCACTTCTGGCTCGCTGAGTAGATCCACCACCTTGTAGGTAATTTCTAGTTCTTGATCTGTGCTTATCGACTGGGCCAATTCTATCGCTTTTGGCGAATAGTCCACACCGGTAAGATTCGAATATCCTTCGCGTGCCATTTCGATCAGCATCATGCCATTTCCGCATCCTGAAATGTTTCATATTAACGGTTGAATTTCCACATGGTATCAAAATCGGGATTAAATTGCTCACCCAAGTCAATAAAGGAATCATCCTGTTGAAGTCTATCCTCCTGCCTTTCGATCCATCGTATAATGCGTAGTTGACTGTCCTCATCGAACCAAACCTCCCCTACATCGCCATGGTCCCGGTAGTTTTGTATTTCCGTTTCGTAGCTCGATTCCCAATAGTCTTTCGTGCCCAGTTCAGAGCTTTCCAATTCTTCGATTTGGTCGGTCATCTTCTTGAAGGTATTGAGTTCTAGTGTAATTCCCGATTAATCATTTTGTATTTAGTAAATTTAAAAATTTATTCAAAACAATGTCGCACCTTGCACCTCGCAACTACTTCTTATTTACTTTGTTTGTTTGCATATCGGCTAACATCTCATTAGGGTTGACAGCCGGTTTATGGGGGCAAGGGGTGATGCAGTAAAAGTACCACAGTACATACCGAAAATTAAATCTTTCCCATTTGTGGCACAGACCTAACAACTGGTCCTCTCCAGGCGGGTTCGTATTGGTTCGATTTGCGTGTGTTAGTGAGATGAAATTTTTTGATAGCTGAGATAAATTTTTTGTTTGCTGTAAGAACTATCATTCTAAAGTAAAAATAAACAACAAAACGAAAACAAACCTTACGCTTGCACGGTAACAGTCAAATACCCTTTTATGAGTAAAAGTTAACCCATTTTTAATAAAAGTGGCTTTATTCATTTATGACTAAATTATTTTAACAACAATGAGTTTCTGCTAACAGTAGCTAACAGTTATTACTTGATTGGCATAATAAATTACTCATTAATTAGTAGTGCCACTTTTATTGACAATGGGTTAACTTTTACTCATAAATGGGAGTTTGATTATTACCGTGTACATGGCAGTATATGCTAGTGTGAGTAAAATTATATTATTAGATTAGTGTTCGTGAGATCCTGCTTGGGAAACTCAATAGAGAAGTAATGAGCATGGCAAACACCGGTGGTATACGACACATATATTATATCAAGAGCCAATTTTCTAACAGATATTTTTGCCAATTCAGAGTAAAATAGTATTTGGCGTCAGATTATCAACTTTAATATAGATTTTCAGGTCCGGTTGTATTGGTAAGATATGTGAGAGTGTGTTAGTGAAAATCAGAGGAAAATAATTTAAATTCATACCTTTGTTAGGTTAGCCAGAGTAAAATAATGAACAACTTTACACGACGATGCACCCGCTAGCGTGCGTGCGTTAAACGTCACTAATCTCTCATACTAACCTTACTCACTACCATAACCATTAACAATAAAGTTCTCAAACCATAATTTAAAAGCTTCTAATATAGTTCTCTTTCCGATGGAGTATGGATGTAGGGCGAAAACAAGAATATGGAACCTATTATTTGTAAGGTCCACACCTAAAACATACATAAGTTTATAACTTTATCAAACAAACGCTCATGTAAAGTTCCATAACCATTCCAGTTAAAGTTTAGGAGGGATTATAAACTATTTTTAACCATTATCGGTAAGGTCAAGTTATGGTTCGCGTTTATGCAGGTTATTCATTGACTCATGGCGCAAAAGTGTGCCGAAGAAACCAAGACGTTAAAACTTAAAAGCGCACTTTTATTAACGATTCCGCACTTTTGGGGAGTCCAGTTAGAATTGCCAATTACAATTTAATCGATAATTTTTTGTTTGAAGTGCTGCCATTTTTACACCAATAAAAGTGCAGAACATGTTTGAAACGATGGAGAAGTTAATGCTCACTTGACATGATATAACCGATTAAAAATGATTAATTTCTCGGTTCATTAATCCATTAATTATTCATATCAATTATTGATTATTCGAATAAAAATCGGGCACCACTAGATGAATGCGAAACATCATTTTGACATCAACCGTCAATGTCGACGAACCACTTTCGGAAAGGTGATAGTTGCCACTATCCGACGATGTTGTTGGTTTGCGTGGGCGTACTTTGGTTCGCGTGTAAAGGGCCTTAGAAAGTTTGTTTACAAATGCTTTTGTGCCGTTATCAAATGTTATGCCTGATTTAACACATGATCTTCATTAACTTTTTGCAAGGTGCCTGCTTATTAGTTGATTTATACATTTTATGAATAATCAGCAATAGAAATTTGCCAAAAGGTATAAGATTGCTATCCGTGTAATACATACATTTTCCAGTACCCAACCCTATTAACATCCACAGTTGACTGGTATCGTCCCGGAAATGCACCAGTTGATCTACTGACATTTTGAGTTTGAAGTCGGCTCGGCTCGGCTCAACTGACAGATCGGCGGTTTGACAGTCAAACTGTCAACCGCGAACTGTCAGCCAACTCGGTGCTTTTCCCTTTCCCTTTCGCACCAGCAGGTTTCGAGTTGGCCATCCTCCACGAACGAAACCTTCCGTCGTCGCATTTGGCAGTGCTGTGCTGTGGCTTTTCAGTCAGATCCACTTACTGAAGCAATCTCGTGCCGTGCAAATGCAAGCAACAACCGTGAGAGAAGACTAGAGGTGACTGCGTGTGTGGTTTTTACCTACGTGTGTCTTTATTTCTTCCTTCGGGATCAACCGACCATCACATCAGTGCTAGTGCAAAGAAGATTACTCTGAAGGAATAACGGGAATCTGTGCAAGAAGATTTTAGTTACGTAGAAACCGATCCGTGTGTACTGCTGGAGAACAGGATTTCTCGCCGTAGAGTGCGTGTGTGAGACTTATTTTTTGACACTACTTTGGACAGGAACAGAAATTTTTACTTTCCAAAAGAGATGAGTTCTGCTCCAGCCGCTGCCGCCCCGGCCCCAGCGCCGGTTCTCAAGAGAGGAATCGTCAAGCAGGTTAGTACTTCCGGTACGGAGGGTGGACCGTTTCCGTATGTTAAGTGATAAATCGGTTCCCTGAAAAAGCTGTCCAAAATCGATGAAGGAATTTTTTCACCCATGTTGGTCTTGTTCTTCTTGCTGCTCTTCGCCATCGGCTCTCTTTTCTGCTGCTGCCAGCCAGCCAGCCAACCAACCAGCCCGTGCTGCGGTGTTGGTGCCAACTTGGCATTATTGTGTGTCTATAGAGCTATCTTTGCGATAGGCGACCAGCCTTTTTAATCTACAGAAAAGTAGCTCCAAGTGACCCTCGGTCGTACTTTCAATGTAATTGGCCAGGAATTGATATCTGGATTAGATTGTTCAAATGATTGCGTAAGGCACCAGCCATATCTATCTAGGGGGAACTAATCCGCCTGCCATCTTTTGGGTGGGAGGTCACTTGGTGAAAGGTCCCTCCTTGGTGAAAGTTGGCAAGTTTGTGTAGATTAACGTTTCTGCAGATAGTTTATTTTTTTGCTTAAGAATTCGGTTTATGTTTTCCTAAAAAGTAGGTTAGGCAAAATGTTTCTTTGTTTTTGTCCATTGACCCACAATCAGCGGGGATGCAACCGTCTTTGTCGATGATGTGCGGTGCTGCCACCTCTGGTGGTATGTATGACCGACTTGCGTGGATAATAGATGCATGTCATTCGGGGCGATTGGTAGCTTTTGGTTCAAATTTAGGAATTTCTTATATATTATGAGTTAAATAAGTCTCATTAACAGAATAAGAAATACGCTGACAGGATGATCTGATCATTTATTTATGTAAGTCAAAATAATGGTAAATGTTTAACTTAACAGCTGTTTCAAATCGAACAGAGGATTTGGTTGAAATCATACTTACATCTAACGTGTATTAAAGTGTCGACTTTTTGGAAAAATCCGAACTCGGGGAATTTTATGTTCCCTGATAACAGTTGCTAAAACCTCGTCAAGAGCGTTATGTCCAACAATCATCTTTCCCAAAATCATTTCCATCATAAGCTCCAGTTCCAACCCAGTGGGAAACCGAACTTTTGTCAGTGAAAACCTCAACCTGAGGTATGTTTTAAAAACAAACGAACAGACTGACGTTTGTCAGAAAACAAGCAGACTTAATAAATTTGATATAAGGCTGATATAAAGATCAAAGTCGTACACCGAAAATCATCATCTGAATTTCACATAACATTTATGCGATCACATTTATTTTATGTTATTTTTCATATGAATTTAATTGTCCTCATAATATTCATTTTGTGGTGGGATTCGCTGCTATGTCATCACAGGAAAGCTATGTGAAATTCACATGGATGTCATCCATTAGATATGTGATCAATTTTTTGAGTGTATATCAGCCTTATATTGCAAAAAAAAGGCCCTTATCGGGCTATTAATGGGCTTGGTGGTTACTTGGGTTAGGAGTATTGCAAAGCAATTGTAAGGAGAGTTTCGAGGGAATTGCTAGCAAAACTCTAAAGGGCCACCCATATTAAATCCGGATCTGACGCTTTGCGGCTAAATGGCAGTTGAATGTCACATTTACGTTAATGCAACGCAAACGAATCTAATGTGGATGGTCCTTAAGGTGAATCACTGTGACATCTTTATTCTCGGAACCACTTCGAAACTTTAAGTGCACAAATAGCAGCTTCTACGACACATGCAACATTCAAATTGTTACTCCACGTTTGCTGCACTGCAGCATACATAAAGTAGCAATTTCAGGTGACATGGTGTACCGATTTCCGAGATTTGTGTAATTGAAACATAAAATTCGAAGTGGAAGTGCATGTATAGCCTACGTGGCGGCCATTTGTGGACTCTACAAGGAATCGCCTTAAGGCAATAGAGTATCAATCCTAAAGAATTCTGGCATCTATATAGTGAAACTTTACCTCTGTATTCGAATATATTCTGCACATTGTAGTCGAGATACGCGTATCTAGTAATCTATAAGCTATTATTTGAACTACAGGAAATGACTAACCCCTAATAGTTCCAACGAAATTGAGAGGAAAATTCCAAGGGAATACTTAGGAGAGTTTCAAGAGAATTCCTTAGAATTCCAAGGGAGTCGTGAAGAGTGTTTCAAGAAATTTATGGGGCCACTCCATGAAAATTCTGATCCGAATTCAGAAGAAAAAAAGAAGGACAGTAAGCGGAGGAGTAGCTTAAGCGTTCCGAGGCCAAAACAACAATACTGTATATTGACGAAAAGTGCGTTTGATTGAATTAAATTTCTCATCTCTTTCGTCTTAAAAGACGCTTGCATGCACACTAGACTGATGCAAAATTTGAAATTTTTGCTCCACAGTGCTCAAACGGTTCCAAATTGGGCCCTGATTAGCCTCCCAACACTTGAACTCATTTAGTGAGAAACTGACTTGGCACAAACCATTTGAAGTTTATATGGAAATTACTATTGGAAAATAAATCTTTTTGTTCATTGTCTTCTAGCCTTTTACATATTGTACTGTTAACAAATTCTATTGCTATTCTTATGGGAATTTTTATCAGCTACAACTTAGCAGAAAATCGTTTTTCAGCCAAACGTCAAATTAAATAGTTATTAATTGTTTAAGAGATTGATAATCTTATGGCAAGATTAAGCAACTGTATTGTGGGCAACACTGTATTCTGCAGTGTGACATAGTAGCCAGGGTTCCTTCCATTCATTTCGGCAAAAAACATGTTTTATTAAATTATGGAATAATAAGATATTATGATAATATTTTGTTTGCGTAAGCAACAAGAAAATATGGTAAAGTTTGTGTTTGACACATAATACCTGCCAATTTTGCTACATGAGAGTCGCAATAAGCGATTTTGTCATTTATCTCACCCACTCGTCGCTCTTCACTCTTCGCGAAAAGGCGATCAGAAAACTACTCATTGTGACTCTGTCAAAGCTAAGTTTGCAAGTTTTATGTGTCAAACACAAACTTTACAATCTTGTCTTGTTGCTTACGCAAACCAATTATTATCATAATATCGTATTATTCCATAATTTATTAAGCCTTTTTTTCAGCCGAAATGAATGGAAGGAACCCTGATAGTAGCCATGATTTTTGTCCTCTATTCTACGCGCCATAAATACCAATGTTGCCTGCTGAACAGTTGATTGAGCATAATAAGACATCAGTGACTTGAATCATTAATAATTGTTGTTCCTTACATTTGATCGAAAAGTGGTCTTGAACAAAGTTGTAGCTGAGAAGCAGGTATCATTTTCTAAAGTAGAGTGAACTGGTGAATTTTGAGATATATATGAACCGGAATTAAGGTTTCTTCATAGCAATTCCCATATAAACTTCAAATGGTTTGTGCCAAGTCAGTTTCTCACTAAATGAGTTCAAATTTTGGAAGGCTAATCAGGGCCCAATTTGGAACCGTTTGAGCACTGTGGAGCGAAAATTTCAAATTTTGCACACTTAGATCACAGACAAACAGACATAACACATTGAATAATTCTCACTGTAAAACATCATCGCTAAAACATTACCGCCATCTGTTGAGTACACTGTGGTGGGTAGTACGCTGAACAGATGGCGGTAGTGTGTAAACGTCAAACTCAAGGGAAATGACTATGCGCGCCGCAGATGGTGGTACTACCAACTACGATACTTTTAAATTGACCGTTAAATGCTTGTTCGATGAACATCTTGCGAGTGTTATGTCTGTTTGTCTGTGCTTAGATTATTTTACAGGAGTCAGTTATTTTTACTGGGTTTATGATTATGCATGTGCATGTGTGTGTGTCGGTATGAGCACCGAAATTCATATGACTTTTTCGTAGTGCGAATACTTAAGGTGCAATTTACTTTTATTTATTTTCGAAAAATTCAAACCCAGTGTTTTTGACGCATCATTTGAGATAGCAAAAAGCTCGTGTCATTTAATGTAAAATAGTGAAACTAATGTAATGACAAGAATTTTTTGCTATCTGATTTGATGCGTCGAAAACAACTAGGTTAGAATGTTAGGACATCGTACCAAAGTAAATTGAACCTTAAAGAGTGCCGCCAAGAGATTTTTTTTTAATTGCTAGGTAATACCAAGACATCCATCATTCCAAGGAATCCCCGGCAGTGGTGAAACGATAAAAAATAATACAGGTAGCGTAATCTTGAACAAATTTTTAAGATATCCTGTGAAAAGTTCCAAGGGTTCCGAAAATTTCAAACATAGATATTTTTTTTTTCGACTTGATTAACAGAAAAAAAAAACAGCTCTAGGATTAAGAAAAACATTCCAAATTCTGAGGTCGTGGTAAGCTCCAACTCGGATTAACTTTTAATAGCGGATGATCTGCAAAATGTTTGCTAACAGTCGTGTTGTTTAATGCCGAACTTAAAAAAAAATTAAAATTCTTAGATGAATATTCCAGACACGGAGAAATATCCAAGCTTTAGGAACAAATTTTAAGACAAGATTAATATTTTTTAGTTTTATCTGTATGTGTTTTACCTAAATTTAATTTTTCACTAACTGTTTCGGAAAAACAGTGAAAATTTTCACTGTTTCTTCACAACAGTGACGTCCCTGCTGAAAAATCAAAAACAGTTTTAAAAATTAAGGTTCATATTTTTAGGTTTGCTTTGATCAAGCTTGAAAATGCTAATTACAGCTAAAATGCTATTTTTCGGATTTATGAAGTTATGAAATATGTTAATTACTTACTTACACAGGACCCACCAGTGGTGCAAAGGGCCAACGTGAAAGACTTCCATCCTGGGCGGCTGCTCGCTTTTGCCTTGACCTGGGCCCAGATCAGATTCCTATCGACTTCCTTAAGGGGAAGTTCACCGCTTCGAAAAAAATAATTACGTTTTGATTTTTCTAAGAATATTGAAAAAAAAGTATCAAAAATCTAAAAAAATCACATTTTTTCTAATTTTTTGAAGAAAATTCACGTGCAAAAACATGTTTTATAAGTCATTATGGCATAAAGTTGGACTCAAAAAACCACAAAACATCAACTTTTCGGTTTT